ATTTGGCGCTCCTTTTCTAAATTCTCGAACGTGCTTAAGAAGAACATAATGTAGGTGACGCCGTCGGTATGGCGACCACCTATGTTTACGCCAAAGTTGATGACTGCTGGGGGAACTCTCATGGCTATGGTCCGTGCGAGACCTCCCAAACCTCGCTGCAGGGCTACAGCTTGCTGGGACGGCGTCATGGTGCCTGTGGTCACGTTGATCCAAGCATGTACTTCGCGGACGAATTCGCGAAAAGGTACTTGACCGGCTGGGTCCCAGTGAGGGCCGGTCGTTCTTGTGTCGTTTCCGCCACGCATATGTCCTACCGCACACCCGATGGCGACCCATGCGAACCCAAAGATAGTAACACCAATCCAATGACCTCGTAGGTCGTGGTCGGATGTAGTCGGTTGGGACCTCCGTCGTGTAGTCGTAAGTCTGCGCGGGGGTGGAGGCGGCACTGCGTCGTATCGCATGTACCCATGCATTATATCTTCGAAGAAGTTTCCACTTGGAGTAGGTGGGTGGACTGCAGGAATGTAGTAGCGCAAGGATGTAGGACATAAGTAAGAAACCTCCGCGTAAGCAGAGGTACCGCTGCAAGTATCCTTGCGACGATGCGTAGTTAGATACATTCCTCCGCGCAAACCCACTGCACCCTGATGTTCCACCAAGTATATAGTCCACCAGATAGCGCCGTGGATGGTGAGGAGTAAAGCAAGAGCTGACCACCATAGGCCAGCTCCGCTACCAAGTTTGAAGGGGGCTGGGAGGCCCAGCCAACAGCTTCGCCTCAGGCGAAGCCAAGCTCCAGCTCTGTTGAGCCGTAGTAACGATAGTCCCAGTAGGAGAGGATGTGCCATCTTAAGCAATAGGAAGATCCTCTTGGTCTCGATATCAATCGTGTGCCTCGCGATGAGGCCCAGTCATATTTGGGCGGCCGGCCACTTGAGCCGACGCGGCCGCGGGCACACCTTCGCTTCCGCTCCTTATGTCCCTCAGCTCGCTTTACAGTCGGCGGTGACTCGCCGTAGACGTCTTCGATCCACCGCCCCCTGTTGGCTTGCAACAGGGGTGCCCGGCGTGCCCGCCAGGGGCTTCGGCCCGTCCCGGCAGGGTCCCAGAAGGGCCCCAAAGAATGCCCAAAATCCGATTACACAGTTTTTGTTCCTGTTCCAGATGGCTCCAAGATGGCGTCACAGATGGCCACGGTGGCCTCCAAAATCGCCCAAAGACGGCCCAAGAGTCCAAAATGCCTCCAAGCTCTCACAAGAAACCTCTAAGACGGCCCAAGAAGGCCCCAGAGGCCTCCAAGAGGCCTCCAAGACGCTCCAAGAGGCCTCCAAGAGGTCCTCTGCGAGAGCCCGAAGAGGCCAAAATTATTGGTTCTCCTCAGGTTGTTGAAAGATGTTGGCTTTGGCTATTTTTTTCTGCACTCCGACGACCCAAGCCGGCCCAATAGGCCCCCAAGGTCGCCCCCAGAGCGCCCAAGAGGCCTCCAAAATGGCCTCAGGACTGCCCAAGAAGCTCCCAAGACGGCACAACAACGACCCAAGAGGCTTCCAAGACGCTCAAGATGGCCTCTAAGATGGCCCCAGAGCACCCCAAGAGGGCCCCAAGTCGGCCCAGAGAGGCCCCAAGACGGCTTCCGACGGCGTCAGACGGGCCAGGAGCCCACCAAGATGGCCGAAGTTGGCTCCAAGCTGGCCCAAGACGGCCCAAGAGGCATCGCAGAGGGCCTCCAGGATGGCCAGAAGAGGCCAAAATCATTGATTTGCTTTAGGTTTTTGGAAGGATTTTGATATTTGCTTATTGTCTGCCTTCCGACGGCCCGAGACGGCCCAGGAACCCCCAAAGATCGCCCCAAGATCGCCCAAGAGGCCTCCAAGATGGCCCCAGAACGGCCCAAGAGGCCCCGAAGACGGCCCCAAGAGGCCCCGAAGACGGCCCCAAGAGGCCCCCAAGACGCTCAAGATGGCCTCCAAGACGGCCCTGGAACACCCCAAGAGGGCCACCAGACGGCCCAGGGAGGCCCCCAAGACGGCTTCCGACGGCGTCAGACAGGCCAGGAGCCCACCACAAGACATCCAAAGAGGCCCCCGAGAAGCCCCCAAACGTCCAAGAGGCCCCCAGGAAGCTCCCAGGAGGCCCCAAGAGTGTCCCCAGAGGCTCCCAAGATGCCCCCTCCTCCTCCTCCTTCCTCCTCCTCCTCCTCCTCCACCTCCTCCTCCTCCGCCTCCTCCACCTCCTCCTCTGCCTCCTCTTGATCTTCCCCGCCATCCTCCCACAAGTGTTCCCCGAAGGGTTTCCACAACGGTCGGGGGAACACATGGCCCGATACAGTATTCGGCCTGACCTAAGGAACGAACAATTAACCTGTGACGTACCCAACCCATTTGTATCAATGGAAACGAGGAGTTGGTCGAACCTTGCATGGACAATCAACTTGATGTGTAAGCTACTTGGGACACGCGCCTATGGCATGATGCGCAGGAGAACCATACAAGAACGAGGGGCGACAGCTACAGGCCCGAAGAGGACATGGGGAGTCGGGAACGCAGAGCAAGAGAAAAACGTGCGGGAAGCCGAACCATCAGCACGGCAGCAGCAGAGGGAAGGTGACTCCAGGAGGAGAACAAGGACGAAAGCGGCGTCTAATTTGAATCCGCCGTGAGTGCCCACTGTGCTGGGCCCCCCAGCAGGCCTCGAAAGTGGCGACAGTTTCACAGATCGCAGCCCCCCAGGGATGGCGAGGTCTAATTTGAATCCGCCGTGGGTCACTGTGCTGGGCCCCCCAGCAGGCCTCGAAAGTGGCGACAGTTTCACAGATCGCAGCCCCCCAGGGATGGCGAGGTCTAATTTGAATCCGCCGTGGGTACCCACTGTGCTGGGCCCCCCAGCAGGCCTCGAAAGTGGCGACAGTTTCACAGATCGCAGCCCCCCAGGGATGGCGAGGTCCCATTTGAATCCGCCGTGGGTGCCCACTGTGCTGGGCCCCCCAGCAGGCCTCGAAAGTGGCGACAGTTTCACAGATCGCAGCCCCCCAGGGATGGCGAGGTCCATTTGAATCCGCCGTGGGTACCCACTGTGCTGGGCCCCCAGCAGCCCTCGAAAGTGGCGACAGTTTCACAGATCGCAGCCCCCCAGGGATGGCGAGGTCTAATTTGATCCGCGGTGGGTACCCACTGTGCTGGGCCCCCCAGCAGGCCTCGAAAGTGGCGACAGTTTCACAGATCGCAGCCCCCCAGGGATGGCGAGGTCCCTTTGAATCCGCCGTGGGTACCCACTGTGCTGGGCCCCCCAGCAGGCCTCGAAAGTGGCGACAGTTTCACAGATCGCAGCCCCCCAGGGATGGCGAGGTCTAATTTGAATCCGCCCGTGGGTCACTGTGCTGGGCCCCCCAGCATGCCTCGAAAGTGGCGACAGTTTCACAGATCGCAGCCCCCCAGGGATGGCGAGGTCTAATTTGAGTCCGCGGTGGGTACCCACTGTGCTGGGCCCCCCAGCAGGCCTCGAAAGTGGCGACAGTTTCACAGATCGCAGCCCCCCAGGGATGGCGAGGTCAAATTTGAATCCGCGGTGGGTACCCACTGTGCTGGGCCCCCCAGCAGCCCTCGAAAGTGGCGACAGTTTCACAGATCGCAGCCCCCCAGGGATGGCGAGGTCCCATTTGAATCCGCCGTGGGTACCCACTGTGCTGGGCCCCCCAGCAGCCCTCGAAAGTGGCGACAGTTTCACAGATCGCAGCCCCCCAGCAGCCCTCGAAACGCAGCGACGAGCGAGGTCAAAGGCAGGGGGGAAGAGAGGGACGGGGGGGGGTGGGAAGGTTCGCGCGAGCAGTGCTCTATTCAAAACGAGAACCCAACGCAGGAGGGTTGGGAATAAGGAACGAAACTCAATTGTTGTTCCAATTAAGTCTACGAAGTCCGAGAGAACACCAGGGGGCTCGCCGCCAAAAAGGTAGCGGGGCGCATGCAAACCAAAGGAACGACCAAATCCCTTTTGAAAAGTAAGTGTTCCTTATTCAAGCCGGACCCTGTATCTTGGCAGAGCTTTTGCCACAACGCTCGGCCAGATGGGCGATTCTAGAAGGCGGGGGGCGGCGGCGACTTGCCGTAGGCGTCTTCGATCCGCCGCCCCCTGTTGGCTTGCCACAAGGGTGCTCGGCGTGCTGAATCCTTTCGATCTTGGATCTTTTAGAAAGCTTCCTGGGGCTTCGGCCCGTCCCGCCGGGGTCTCGGAAGGGCCCCAGAGGAGTCCAAGAGGTGCTCCAAGAAGGCCCGAAGGAGCCAAAATCTTCAGTTTTCCTGAGGTGTTTGAAGGATGTTTGTTTTTCCTCGGTTTTGGTGTTCCGACCGCCGCCTACAGCGGCCCAAGGAGTCCCCAAACTAGTCCCGGAGGCCTCCCAGACGGCTCCAGCCAGCTCCAAGAGGGCCCCAAGACGGCCCAAGAGATCTCAAAAACGGCCAAGATGGTCTCCAAGACGGCCTCGAAGACGGCCAAGATGACCTCCAAGACGGCCTCGAAGACGGCCAAGATAGCCTCCAAGATGCCTCCAAGACGGCCAAGAAGGCCTCAAGACAGCGAAGATGGCCTGAAGATGGCCTTAGACTGCTCAAAAGGCCCGCCAGAGGCCTCCAAGACGGCCCAAGACCCCTCCAAGACGTCCTCCAGGAGGCCCGAAAGCTCGGAAACCACCTGGTCCGATAGCTCGCCCGACTCCGTGTTCCCCGAAGGCTTTCGAAACCCACTCGGGGAACGCGTGGCCCGATAGCTTTGCCAAGCTCAAGCCCAACTTTCGGCCACGCAGGCGCATCCAAAAAAGAAGGGGGCGGCGGTGATTCGCCGCAGGCGTCTTCGATAAGATTTCTCGGCGCGCGCGTCCCCGGGGGAAACGACGCACATGTAGTGTTAGTACGTTGGGGTGACGCCGATATACGTCCTGCTAACGCCCAGGCCAACTGCGTCAAGTGCATCGTATCCAGCCTCCTGGTTAGTGTAGATTTTCCAGCCTCCGAACCTTTGCAGCTGCTGGATCTTCAGGCTGGTCATGACGTCGCGGTCCATGTGCGTGAGGCCCTGCATGTACGCAAGCGTGGACAGCATTTTCTCAGCGTTGACTATTCCATCTATTTCGTCAATGTCGAATACGTCGGTTAGCCGAATCTTATTGTAGAGGTTATACGTGTCGACAGCATCGGTGCCACAGTACTCGCTGGCGTCGATGTCCAATTCACTCAATATAGACGTCGCGCGAGGGTCCTTGAAAATTGCGGTCAATTGAGCTGCGGTCCATGTCTGGTCCTGGAACTGACATTTGCCCCCGAAATTGTGGTTGTGATTCATTTGAACGTAATTACAGAACTTCTTCAGTTTGCGCCGGATGTTCTTTCCTGCCCACTCATGCTTCTTCTTGTACGAGCGCTCCTCATTACTAATGCCCTCTTCTACGCTGTGAACAAAGACGGCGGTCACCACATTGAAAAGCCCGAGCATCACCAAGATCATCCCCGCGGCGTAGCTGATGTTGAATTTTGCCCCATAATGCTTACTCAATTCTGGTATCATGGAAGTCCCATCCAGCTTTGAACAGTCGCCCATGTAGCAACGGAATACGGTAAACATGCACTCCCCAACGGTGCCGCAAAACTCGTTGCCTATCACCTTGTACACCGGGCACGCTGCAGT